TCTGGGTTCTAACAGGCCAAGATTTCCCACTTCAAAAAACTGTGGACAAGGCACTTTATTGAAGGTAGCGACAGCTGTCTACTGGTTACTACCCTCTGCCCTGCTTAATTTCACATGATTGCCCTAAGTTTCAATTTAAATAATAACACCTGAAAGTGCTATATCAATGTAGCAGGTCATGGTGAGATAAAGTGGAAGGGGTATTTTTACCATTACCATAAAATAACTACCGTCTGTTTTGTCTTCACCCCCCCACACACATACACACACGCCTCTTGATTGTTATCTATGTTCAAGCAAATTAAAAGAGTTGTCATTTTAAAAGATAACCATAACTACAGCATCATTAAAGTAATATAGTAGATGCTCAGTAAATATTCCTTGAATTAATTAATCAATGCTTATTTCTATGCTTATCATTATGTTAACACAAGAGGAAGGTGGAAAAGAAATATATGATCTTTATTTTTTTCTTTATAAAATTTCAAAGAGAAAATTTAAATATGTAAAATAAATAGAAGGCAATGCCATAAGGTCTCAAAGTTATGAAAAAGTCTTCACAGAAGTCTTCTTTCACTGAAGTACTGAAAATTCAAATTAATAAACTGGCTAACAATTTTAAGTAACTCTTGTCTTCACATCAAAAGCTTTACAGCAGCATTCTCATTTCTAATTAAAGCCATTATTTTCATGCTAGTGGGGGTGGGGGAAGGCCCTTCAGAGATAACTTGCCTTACTCACCAGCTTACTGTCACAAGCACAAGAAACTCAAACACTAACTCCAGCTGACAAAATAAAATGCTCTTGTTCAGAGAGAGGATTGTCTCTTATAATAGCCTGGCTCTTGCCCCAGGAGCCTTATTACCAAGAATAAACTATGAAAGGTTGCCATACATAAAGCAGACTTCCAGCTGCTCTTCTAAGCAAACATCAATGAGACTTTGTGATAAGAGAGATTAACTTGGCTATCACATCCAGGGGCAGCAATGCTGTAGACAAGTGAATTTCTCACTCACTTCTCTTTAACATGGCAAAGAGGAGTGAAGGGGCTTAAATGCTGAATTAAACACCTTTAAAAGTGATTTAGTCTTGCTACTTACAAGGGAAGACAAACATGAAGTATTAAAAATTTTAGCTTAAATCTTAGCTTAAAATTTTTTTAAATGTAGTTGCTTCCCTAGGAAAGAAAGTTTCCATACGCCTTTCAAACTAGTAGGTCTGACAGTTGCCAACTGAGATGAGGTAACCACGGTAACTTTTATAAGCATAGAAGTAAAACAGCCTGCCCACAAAGACAGGCATAAAATAACATATTACTTAATAACCATACATGCATAACTACACTAAGAACACACCATGACACATGGAAAACTATACTAAGGAATAGAAAAAGTTTTATGAATTGAATGTAATCTTTCCATAAAACTCTCTGGAGTGAACCAAGACTGTAAGTTACTTCTTAAAACATTTAAAGGAAACTCATCTATTACTTATCTGTATCTTTTAAAATATAAAAATAATTAGTTTTCATTATGGATACTTTCTTCTGCTTTTCAATATTTAAAAGTTTGATAGAGATGATTTACTATAGTTCACTTTCTAAAGATTCTACAAAAATGGGGCGAAAGGCCACACGGGAAGAAGCACAAACACTGCTGAGTGAGCAGTCCCTGAAATGGTATCATCACATTTAGTTTACATATGCCTATAGTAGTTAAATAATTTGTTCAAGTTACATAGGCAGTAAATGGCAAAGCTACACTTTAAACCTAAGTAGAATTCAAAACCAGTGCTTTATTACATATACTACATTACCCTTAAACTTGGATAAAACACATTCATGAAATTAGCACAGGAGAACAACCAACCAAAACCCAATACTCTTCCAAAGGCTGAATGAGCTAGTTTCAAGCTACTGAGCAAGGACAAACAGGGAAGGCCAGTGTGTGTATTTCACCTGCCATAGAAATTATTTATTTAAGTTTTAATTATTTAAGTTTTAATGTTTTCATTGTAGTCATCAAAATCAATTTACCTTACAATGTTGAAATGAAATTCTACCTCTAACTATTGATTCTTACTACTATACAAGTTCTTGGCCCTAATATTAGAAATTTGACTTTGAAAAGAAAATCTTTGTTGTGGAGTATTTTATAAGATTTTTAAATTTACCTACTTATATTCTCAAAGTATACACACTGTGAATATAGCAAAATCTTCTCTAACTAAACAGCTCCATCTGTTCTAATCATTCTCAGAACATCAGTTATTTCAGTGCCTTGGAAAACCCCAATTGTCAGTTTGCAGTGGACTACTTTTTGTGCTGGGTCAAATTACCCCAGAGGAAAGGAAGTAGAGAACACAATTCCCGAGTATGTGCTCATTCCTGAGAGAGGCAAGGGACTCTTTATCCCTTGCTTGCAGTGTCCTAGTGCCAATAGGTTACTTGTAGCGGGTGAAGACAGGCTGCAAATCTCAACAACAAAATCCCAGCTGGGATGATCACTAAACTAGCACAGAAAGGGCATTAGTTATAGATAGATCTCAGCGTCACTGGTAAAGTTCCTCAAATTTAAATTCAGTCCATTGCAATAAGCTAGACTCTTAACTACAGGACTGTCAAAATGAAACAAGATGTGTTAAGCAAAATCTAAAATATGAGAAGTAACTTGATTCAGAGCATTCAGGGCTAGTATGCAGTAGGACTTTCTGTTTTAAACCTTTTCCCTGCCCATAGTAGCTAGCACTTTTCCTCTAAGCCCTCTGTGACAGCCAGCATTGGATTGCACACATGCCATTAAATTTGGAAGCAAACTACTATCAAAATCTGCACAAATAACAAGACTGTCATTATGCAACTACTGAGGTATCCTTAAAGCATCAACCTTCAAGAGTTAAGTTCTCCTTCAGAAATGAAGAACACATCTACCAATAAAAGCGATCTTTGAGACTATAGAGAATAATGTTAAGTAAAAAAGTATCTTCTCAATAATTTTCATCTCAAAACTTGTAAATGGACTCTTATCACAGGATCATTTTCAAGAAATTTCCACTACATAAAATCAAAATGCTTTATAAAATGTGGTGATTAAAAAATGTACGTTTTTCTAGTTTAATAAACAATTAGATTAATTTAAAAATTAGATTTCACAATACTAAGATATTCACAATATTAAGGTAAAAGGGCATAAAATTAAATCCTTGGATTATCAATATCTCTAGAACTGCCCTGTTCAATATGGTTGCCACTAGCTACATATGGTTACTTGAATTAATTAAAATTAAATAAATTTAAAAATTCAGTTCCTTGTCACACATTCCAAGTGTTCAAAAGCTACATATCACTAGTGTACCTACATAATGAAAAGAACAGATATAGTTCCAGACACAGTGGTGCATGTCTGTAATCCCAGTGGCTCAGGAGGCTGAGGCAGGAGGATTGCGAGTTCAAAACCAGCCTCAGCAAAAGCAAGGCACTAAGCAACTCGGTGAGAACCCGTCTCTAAATAAAGTACAAAATAGTGGCTCAGTGGTTGAGTGGCTCTGAGTTTAATACCCAGTACCAAAAAAAAAAAAAAAAAAAAAGAACAGATATAGAACATTTCTACCAACCAATAAAATTCTACTGAACAGCACTACTTAAAGAAATCTGCCACAAAAATGGCATAACACACAAATGCACACAATAAAAATCACAACAAATATTCTGTACCTTTGATTCTGGTAATAATTTAATGTTATAAATAATTACAAAAATCTCCTGAAGTGTACATTTTAAATAAATGCAGTAATGAATGCAAATTATTCCTCAATAAAATTGATAAGGGAAAAAAATAAACACTTGATCACTGGTGAATTCCAACGGGGAGGAAAGAAACTTAGGGCGTGTTTAGTAAGTGAGTTCCATAGTTCTAACAAGCTTGCTTATAGATTCCTTCAGTCTAAACCCTAGCAGATGTCCAGAGCAGTGAGATAAGTACACAGTCATGTATGGTAAAAGGCCAGACGTAAAAGTGAAAAGTAAAGGACAATGCACACAACCCTCCTAAAATGTACAACTACGTCTTAATCTCAAAGTATCAAGTATATCATTAAAATCATACACTTGGGGTGGGGGTATAGCATGCACAAGGCCCTGAGTTCAATCCCCAGCACCATGAAAAAAATAAAAAAATAAAAACCTCAGCCCTTTACTGAGAGGCCACTGAAGATGCAAAGGAATTCCAAAAGAATTGTATGATGTATGGGCTCACATAGATCTCTCTCAAATGATTCAAGAAAAAACTGTGGAAAGCAAAAGGAAAAAAAAATAATAATAATAATAACTACTCAAAAATATTTAAAGATTTAATTCTTGAGAATCAGAATGAACAGGTATTGCCAATATAATTTATGGGTGAGTTAAGTATTAGAAACAGTTATCATATGAGTTAAGTATCTGCAGCTCAATCCCAGGCAACTATTAATGATTTTTGTTTTGCCAAATGTCAGTTTATATTTAATTCAAACAGTTCTATAATAAACAGTAGTTGTCCAAGGTTTATTTAAAAATGGGAAAAAATATCAGACACAAAGGCACAGACCTATAATTCCAGCTAATCAGGAGTCTGGGGGAGGAGAACCCCAAGTTCAAGGTCAGTTTGGGCAACTCAGACTTTATCTCAAAAAAAGAATTTTTAATGGGCTATGGATGTTAAGAGCACAACAGAAATGACTAAGAATATTATAATATATTAATTTAAGATATTTTACAACCAATTAAAATGATGATTATGAATATTATGGCAATATATAAAAACAATCAAATGCAAAAGCAAAATACACTACATGTAAATTATATATACACATTAAAAAACAAAGAAAACTTGAACAGTGAAAATTTCTTGATTTATTAGCACACTTTTTCTTTTATGTAGAAATCCATACTACTATTGGTATAATGCTAGCTGTGAAGTAAAAATAAAAAATTTAATACTTATACATACAAATTGCATACTCACCACAGTGGGATTGCCACTACTTATCAACTGGCTGACTTCATGAAAAATGCTTTTGCAGTCAATTGATTTATCTAATGATCCTCGTTTTACAATTACTGCTACGGCTAATAGAATCTGTTCCCGAACATACTTCTGGAGGCTATAAAACATAAAAATCATAATGAAAACATTTAACTAAATTTAAAATAAAAATATTCTCAAGCTTCTCACTAGGCCTGAAACTAATAATAATACCCTTTATATCTGAGACCAGGATACCCTCCCTACAGATTCCAAAGCCAGAAAACCTATGTTCAAGTCCAAATTGCATAATTTATTGTCTGTCTGACCCTGGGCAAAACAGTACCTCTGTCTTCTCTTCTGTACAATGAGGGTAAAATTAACAGAATTATTATAAGGATTAAATGTCCCTCGGATTGTGCCTAGTATCAAGCACTTTAGGCAGTGTTCAATATAGGTTAAATGAGTTCCCTGGTAAATATTTGGGGAAAGGGGATTACTAATATTAAGAAAAATTATGATCTAATATCCATCTCCAATCAGTAGCATACTCATAAATCCCATCACCATCCACATGAAAAGGCAGAATTCTAGCTATCCAAAGTATAATATTATGGAAACATACATATTCTAAAACAAACTTAAAGTTTCCCATCTAGGTTCTGCTCCTCTGTATGATGGCAAAAATACCTACCTCTAGTCGAAGCATTTTACAAAACCCATTTGGTAACAAGGGCACTGAGATTTAAAACACCTTTTCTCGACTTTTTCTTAAAGGTAAGGCTCATAAAACATGAATTTATATACAACAGCCCTTGGGTTACAAGCAGCTCTGGGGCCCATCCTGATTTTCCTACAGCAGGCTCAATTTACCTACTGTCCACATAATTATTAACAATGCTTACTTTCACTCTCAGAGCTGTCCCAGTTTAGACATAAGTTATATGGTTATCCATTTGGAAGGCCTTTCATGGCCAGGTGCCTGCTCCTCTTTCCAACCTCACTCCTTCCACATACACTCAAAACTGCAGACCTACTGAACTTTTTTCAGTTCCTAGGTCCATGCTCTTACACAGTTCTACTCCCTCTGCTAAGACTGTGATTTCACTTTGTCCAGGAAGTTACTACTAAGGGCTCCCAAGGCACCCCCACATAACATGATACATCTGTTAATACTGTTTAACTCATCTCCCAGATCAACCACCATTCTAAGAATACTATTATAAGCAAGACACATTGCCTGCCATATAATAGGTATTTATTCAACATTTATACAATGAATAAATATGTCTACCTAGGTCAAGCCTGAAGTGAAAAATATTGAAAATATTAGATTTGAATGATTCATCCTTCATTCAGTAGGCAAATAAGTGCTTAAGTACAAAAATGTTTGTTGACCAAAGAGAATTTTATACATATATATTTTTTGGGGGGGAGGGGGGCAAAATACTTTCATAATACACATATAAAAATTTAAAAATATACATAAAGCCAGGCATGGTGATACATACCTGTAATCCCAGCAACTCATGAGGCTAAGGCAGAAGGACTACAAGTTCAAAGCCAGTCCAGACAATGTAGTGAGACCCTGTCTCACAATAAAAAATAAAAAGGGCTGTGGATGTGGGCCTTTTACCTAATGGTAGAGCACCCCTGGGTTCATCCCTAGTACCATCACTAAATAAACAAACAAATGAAGTTGAAAACTACTACTAAAAACATACATAAAAGCTAGTTTTATAAATATCCATCAACAAGAATTAGAAACCATTAAAAAATAAATAATAGCATTGAGTTCTTATGATATGCAAGGCTTTACATACACTTCACAAAAATTAACACATTTAATCCTTATGACAATCTGGGGTTAAGTACTACTGTTCACTCATTTAATTATCCTAAAATGAATGCACAAAAAATTAGTCAAGTAATTTGCAGGGGTTTCAGCGTGGCAGAAGTCAGGTACAAGTCCCTATCTCAACTACTATGCTATCTATACCCGCCTCTCTAAAGAGGGGGTTGGGGGGAGGGCGCTGGACTGTGGAATGTGGGATGTGGCCCAGTGCTAAGCACTTGTTGAGCATGCCCAAGGCCATGAGTTCAATCTTCAGCACTGAAGGGATCTCCTATGGAAAAGCACTATGTATCTCACGCCATATAAATTTTACCATAGGAGAGGAAAAAATAGAAAAGAAAAAATTATGAGCAAGAAATGTAAAGTACACAACTATACTAGACAAAGGTATACTAGTCAATACAATACAACCTGTAGTGTTCTACCTATGTAGCAAGCCAAAAATTTTTGGTTTGACTCACATTTTAGGGCATTCTATAAGATTAAAATGCCTGTGACATGAAAGATGAAAAGGGCAGAATAATTCTAGATTTAAAGAGACATAACTAAATACAATGTATAATCTATGGTTAAATTCTGGATTTTTAAAAATAACTATATGTAAAGCACACTTTAATAGATCTGAAGGAAGAGATAGACTGCAATATTTTTTAAAATAACCTAAAAGAGGAAAAGGGATATAAATAAAAATCAGACAAATGAACAACTCCAAATAAGAGTTAGAAATATATTAAATAATAAAAATATAAAAGTTATGTCAACAGTACTGAGATTATGCTCATGTAGTTAAGGATATGGTATTATGACGTGTGAGGCATACTCTCAAATGGCTCAGAGAAAATGTGATGAAATGTTAACTGAGCCACTACTAAGAAAAGGGTATATATGTGTTCAATGTACTATTAAGAAGTTTCATTTTAAATTGTTTCAAATAAATGTTTGGAGGAAAATTTATAAGTGAACTATTTTAATATGGAACCCTATAATCCATTCTAAAAAGTTTCAAATTATTATTTTGGATAATACAAGAAAGCACACACATAAACACCATGCAAATCTGTCACACACTGAAGTCTATCAAGTTGTACAGAGTTCTGAGTTCCCAGGCTGGGAGTTATGTTGTGTTAACAAACAGATCTAGCCAGAAGCTCCCATGTGATCCTGACTTCTTAGGAAAGGCTGCTTCACAGAGATGGCTACAGCAGCTAGAGCGCCAGAACTCAGTCTCATGTGATCTGGATCCTAACCACAAGACATGGCTACCAAGTCCCTGTTTCACGGTCAAAAACGAGAATATTCAGGTTTTACATCAATTCCCCAAGGTTACATAAATAGACTGCTTTTCAGAAAACACCTTAGGTCTAGGGGACAAAAGATTTTAAAAAAAACCAAAAAAACAACTTCCTACATATAAACTCATAAACATAGAAGCCTTGGCCTATTTTCTTTTCTTTTACTACGTAACTATAAATGTGCAAGCTTATCTCAACTTCTGTTCAATAGTATATATTATCAAAACTGATTTCAACATATTTTACTAGGGTAAAGAATATATCAAAATAAGTATCCTTCTCTGTAAAATTCAACAAAATATACATCATATCTCTAGGTGAACCTGTAATAGAAATTTTAATATGCCCTAGTTGTGGTGTATGCAAAAAAAGGAAATAAAATAATGCAACGAACACTTGCTGACACTGTCAAGACTTCTATTTACTTATACTTACCTCTAGTTACATACAGAAGGATCAAAGAAAAATCTTGTCAGATCTAACAAATATGGTCAAATGGCAACAATAAAAGGGCAAGCTAGTATCACACCCAAATGGCCTCACCAAATAAAAACCAACCAAACAAGCAAGCAAGGAGGAAGGAGAAAAGTTTAAAGCCAAGAGTAAGTCTCCCTTATTCTATCAAAATCAGAAAAATAGGCAATAGCTGCCCCCCCCCACACACACACACACAGCTCATCTATAGGTCAAATTGGTAACGCTAAAACCTAAGCAAACTCTGGCTCTTCACTCTTATGCATTTTTCTGTATGCAAAGAAATTAATATAAATGCTGAAGTCATATCAGTAACTATTACTAAATAAGATGAATTCAGAGACTGACAGTCAACAGTTGATAAGAACAAATGCATGACAATAATGTTCTGCATTTAAGTTTTTATGTATGTTTATCATCACCATTCCCAACTTCGTGCATTTCTGATTACATAATAAACTCTTCTCATTGACCATGGAAAGGTCAATGAGAAAGTATTTAACTGCACAGCGAACATATAATGTGCACTGCCTGTTCTTGAAAGAACACTTCGTGTTTGGGGAGACATTAAAAAATTAGTAAATCAAGTTCTCCCCAAAAGCTGAATAATTATTTTTCTCAAGAAATCATACAAACAATAAATACATAGTCTTATAAAATGTTTAAAGTACAGAAGAAAAATTCACTTTCACCTCATTTCTCAAAGGAAACTTAAAGAATGTGGTACTTTTTGTCATAACATTTTCTATGCATGTTTCTCTGTGTGTGTGTGTGTGTGTGTATAAAATATAAACCTAATACGGTAAGCTTAAGAAAAGGTATTATAATCTCAGCAGCTTAAGAAGCTAAGGCAGGAGGATCGCAAGTTCAAAGACAGCCTCAGCAAAAGCAAGGCACTAAGCAATTCAGTGAGACCCTGTATCTAAATAAAATACAAAATAGGGGTGGGGATGTGGCTCAGCGATCGAGTGCCTCTGAGTTCAATCCCGGGTATCCTTCTCCCCAAAAAGAAAGAAAAGGTATTATTAAATTCCAAAAACCCTACAATCATATGTGCATGAGGGGGTTTTTTGGTTAGTCTTTTTAAAATTTTTTAGACTTTTTACTGGTTTATATTAGTTATATACAACATTAGGATTCATTTTGACATGATTATAAAAGCATAGAATATAATTTGCTCTAATTCAGTCCCCAGTACTTTCCCTTACCCTCCCCTCTTCTCTCCCCATTTCCTTTCCTCTACTCTTCTGATCTTTCTATTTATTTAGTTTTTAAAATTAGTTTTTAAACTGTGAGTCCCATATAGAGTTTAATCACATACACCGATCATTAAAGGGAAAAAAAAAAAGCTCACTCTAAAAAGACAGATACATAAGTTTAACAAAAGTATTTTAGCAGTACTTCCTCCATGTACTTACTTAGGCCTTTGTAAGACATAGGTTAAAAGGAATGTTCGCAGTGACTCGATGCTACCTTTTTCCAAGAGAATCCACTCTCGGACAACTGCTTCCATTATGGCTGTGGCAGCTTGAAAAAGGACATAGTCCACTTTACTAGTTTCTGAGGAAAAAAATTGAAAACTTTCTTTAAACTGTAGTTCACATTACCTTGGGCATTTTGCATTTATTAATTTTAGAACTTTTCAGACAAGGAATAAGATGATTACCTGTTCATTTTTTAATCCAGTGACCTTGCTCTAGCACCACAAAGAGGTTAGTTCCTCTCAGAAGACACCTCAGGCAGGTGGCAGCTAATCACCGATCACAATTTTCACAAACTTTCCTCACCTCTCTTCAACTGTTACTTCCAAAGCATGAAGAACTAAAAAATAACACAGCTTTAAAAAAAATAAAAATAAAAAATATAAAGCAATCAGAAAATATACTAAGAGATTCTCACCCCGTGCAAAAACAAAACTTTGTATCTGAAAAATCTCTTATTAAATTGGTCCTTAAACATTACTATTTGTGATGAGCCATGCTGTTAAATTATTTTGGTTTTTAAGTAATTAAGCCTTTAGCAGGATGACCCATCTCCAATAGCAAGTTCAAAAATAAACACAAGCATGCTGATGTTATTTTTCTCAAAATATTAAAACAAAATGAGCCACATTTACACAAGGTGAGAAGTTCTCATGAATTTTCTGATTGCGCTACTGATCAAACTGAGTAAAATCCCAAGCTACTAGAAAGACCCAGCCTTAACTAGTGAGTTATATTTTCTATACTAAAAACTGAATTGGGGGGAAAAATAGAAAATTAACGTGTCTAATAAATATTTTATATTAATTTTCTATTTTTTCATCTCTTCACCAATGACTACTACAATCAGTTTCCAAACAGCATTATCAAAAGGGAGAAACAGTCAAAATGAAGTCAAGAAAAGGTAGAAGTTTTCTGAAGGTCTGAAAAATAACCATAATGTGAAATTCTTGAAAAGTCTATAATTAGACTCCAGATTATTTGCCAAGATCACTGGTCATGAGCATTTAAAAGCCATGAGAAATTAACTCTTTGAGTATAGAATGGCACCTTCAAGAATTTATCAGAAGAGCATGAAGACACAATCCAGGCACACTGTTTTCTCTCTTGTTCAAAAGCTCAGGTCATTTAAAAATCTTGTGAATAGTCTTGACACAATTAGCTATAAAAATAAGGGGGAAAAGTGTGGCCTACATAAATTCCTATCTATTGTACTACTGTATAGGAGGTCTAAACATAATAAAACTAGTAAGAAAAACCAATCTGGACCTTTTAAAAAACCTTTTATTATTCCATACTACATTAACATAAATTCTAATTGAGATAATTAGAATTCACAAAACTTTAAAACATTTAAAAATATAATAGTTAATAAAACAAAGCAGTAACTTTTAAAAGGTGTGATCCTATTATAAAAAGAAATGTTTAAAGTTCCAAGAAGGGTGGGGGGCGGGAATGAGGATTTTATTCAGAGAAGATTTAAAACAGAAACAAGCTACATTTAGGACATTTAAGGAGAAATATAGTACTGTCTCATAAAGTAATTCAAATAATCTCTCACTTATGACCCTCTTCTGAAAGAAATTGATGATTGTTTGCCTGTCTTTGTTTTCCTTGCATTTTTAAGGGCAAGGAAATAATTTAACATAGATTTTTTAACAAGGAGGTAAACTCTGTGGAACTCAGAATTTTAGAATTAGATCTCCACAGATCACCTAATACAATTCCTACATTTTATAGCTGAAGAAACTGATGCCAGAAGACTAAAGGGAGAAAATTTGAGGTCATAAGCCTAGCAAATGTTCCTAGCAATACTAATCCACCCCTAAATGCATATGCCACTGAAGACAAGATCAAATAAGCACCTTCTGATACTCATGAGCACTGAAACATACTTATTTTTAACTATTTATACTTATATCCTAGTCTTTTTGTGCCCTTTTGGTTGCTATTATAAAAGAATAATGACATTTCAAAGTTTTCAAGATACAACAAAGTTTCATAACTTTTTCTTAGCTATCTGTGCATGGTATTAAAAGAAGACTTCTAAATTACTACTCCTACAAGAAGCTGTTACTGAGAATGGAAAAATGTGGAAAAAAGAAAGCCAAATTCCAATTTAAAGTAAGAATTTTCCTAAATATTATCTTCTCATAAAAAAACATTATTAGCCTTCATAAGCTGTATTTATACACACTATAAAAAAATGTAAGAGAAACTAAAGGAACTTTAGAAGCCTACTGATAGGAGATAGAACACCTATGTCCATGAGGCTTATTTTTACTCCTTGGTAAAAAGATACATGAAATTGTAAGATTTTCATAAAGAACATAATTCATCTAGAATTTCTTCTTTAATTATTTTTAAGAAGATCTGTCACTGACTACTACACTGCCAAGATGATAAATTATTTGAGAACACTTTAGCAGGAATGCCTTCCCTTGTCTGCCACCACATAACTTTCTTTAATAATCATTATGAACATAAAATTCATTTTTATCTTATCAGCCATCTAACACTAGACCAAACCATGCAGACAAAAGTTCAAATGAAGTAAATATGAGAGGAAGAGCACTACATTCTTATCAAAAAAAGTTTTTAAGAGAATAAAAATAAGCCACTGATGCTCAACTACTACAACCTCTTCTCTGGCCTTAAAAGATTTCTATCCAAAACACAGAAAAAATAAGGATCAAAAAGTCTTCTTTTTTGACTTAATGGTATTTATGCCCACCAACCAATAATAAAGTCTCAGATGAAAGAAGACAAAATTAATAGCTTTACTGAAGAATTTTTCCAAATACAAAGAACTAATAAGTCTCACTGACTTTTTGTTAGTTTATTTCACTTTGTTTTGCCTAGTTCTGAGGTAAGAGGTGAATCAAACTCATTTCTCCCTCTGAAAAGGACAAAAGAATGCTACAAAGTTAACTCCAGAAAAGGTAAGCCAATCCCTCACAGTTCTTAGTTCTTTAACAAGAACAGAACTGATAGGTTTTTTGAGGAAATAACTGACCCTAAAAAATTTACTAATTCCAAAGCACCAAAGATTTCTGTGGTGAAGTAGGCTACAAGTACTCTTCTGACAAAATACACAAGCATGCAACATGCACACACACATAGGCCACACACATACACACAGAAAAGAGTAAAGAAAATAAAAACTAGAATGAAAACAAAAGAGAAAGAAATGAGGAAAAATAAGAACATATAAAACTCAAGTTAAAGAAGTTAGAAGGAAGAGCTTTAAGAGACCAGAAAAGGGAGACATCAAAGAGAAAATCTCCCCTTTATCAGAATATATTTCCCAGACATTCTATAAAAATGACATATAATCCCTAAATAAGAATGTGAAAATTCTGAATTGTGATTGACTGCCACTTGTATGAGAAGTCTTCTTAGAGGAATTTGCCCTTCTGTGCTGGTGGCAACTGAGTAAGGAGTTAAAAAAGGATTTTTTTTGTGAAGTTTAGATGTAAACATTAATGTAACACAGGGCTATGCAGTACATTAATGATTATGCTTGTCATACATGCACTCCACCTTTTAAATAGTTAATGTCTCAAAACCCATACTATATTAAAAGCACGGCCAGAACTAGCAATACTACTCTTTAGAAAATTTTATCAAGAAAACAATAATAATCCAAAACAAACTCAAATCATAAAAAAGCAATAATGGTTCATAAAATATATATACTCTAGGAAGGAAAGAGTGATATAAACAAATATGCTCTAATAAAATACTTATAACTAGATCAACTATTTCCAGCCAATCTAGAATGACAACTGCATTACAACAGAAAGTCAGATGGAACACTGATGGAATTCTAGTCAATGTAGGTAAGGCATAAGCCATAAAAACCAGACTAATTTTAGGTTAACAGTTTAATACAATAGTTTTCTAAATCTATTGATGATGAACAATTTCAAAGCAGTAAGGATGAGGTAAGCCTCCCTTAAATTCTTTATGCTAACGTTTTACTTCTTTTATTTTAATATTAAATTAAATATACTCCACAGGTAAAGAAATTTTCTTAGTAACACAAATCCATCAACGTATAAAAACTAATGACTTATAAGTAAATTAATTAAAATGGCCTCATTTAGAATTGAAAGAGTTGTTAAAACTGTTACTCTTAACAGTAAGAATTCCTGAATGATATAAGAGCCAGGTTGACCATTACTGTTAACTCCTTGCCAACAGAAAAGAGCATTTTATAAGCCAGTCATATTCTTAAAAAACTATCTTAAATGAGATAATGTGGATATGACATTGACCAAATTGTTCACAAAGTGTTTTTAAGTGTAATTACACCTGCATCTCACAACAACTTAAGATAGCCACATCCCTTAAGGCAAATGGTATCATTATTCCCACAATGCAAATGAAGAAGAGGCCTGGAGAGGCTGGCTTCCTAAAAGTGACAGTCGCAGCCAGATCTCACAGTTCCAACACCAGTACTCTTTCCATTACAACTTAATGCCTCTCATATACTCTTTTATATAAAGCATTTTAAACATGTAACCATAATTATGGCTTATTTCAATCTGGAAACCAGAGTATTGGTAACAGATAACCCCTATTAAAAGCACAAGAATAAAAAATCAGATGTTTTAGCTCCTAATGCTCAACTAACCAATTTTATGTTCATAGATGACTCAGAGCCTTAAACATATTATATAAAAAATGGCTCCAACTAAGAAAACAGTAAAAAATAATCAGCCTATAAAATAACAATAACCAGTGAAATCTCCCTTACTGTTATTGAAAAGCATCTAAGAAACAGATGGCAATGTCATATACAACTCTTAGAAAATGCCACCTTTGGACAAGAAAATTTTAATTCTTGTGATTTTTTTTTTAGAAGAGATCACTTCTGTACATGTAAGGTACTCATAAAACAAATCTCACAAAAGTAAAAAAACAGTGCTTTATTTTATGATATACAGTGATAACCTATCCAAAAGTATCTGATAACTGCTAAGCAAGTAGAGTTCAAATTAAATGGCTTTAAAAAAAAAAAAAAAAAACCCTATGGGAAAACAACTAGAAGAAAACAGAACTCTCTAAAAGCAATTTTAATTTTCAAACTAACACTGGGGAAGAGATATATTATAGTATATGTCTTGTAACAAATGATATGACACTTAAGAACAACTGAAACAACAGTTTTCCTCCCACCATTTACAGTTTTAAATTATTGAACACCATATCTAAGAGGGAAAAATCCAAAGTATAAATAAAGTTTCCTTTCTGGTTTCCCAGAATATCTTCAGAGCCACTGCAGTATGATAATTTTTAATAGAAAAGTATTAGCTAAAAGAATCTGCTTATTGTTAAAAGGAATTTAAAATAGTACATGTTCAGGACAGGAAAACCATATTTGATTATGTCAAAATATTTTAAAGTGAATACTTACCCAAAATATGCTTGCAAACTGCAAATGGTGATTTTGATTTTCTAAATGATAAGAATATGTGCTCTGCATGTTGGCGTTGTTCATTATTGACCATGGAAGGTGGTGCCTTGAGAATTAAAAACAAAAAGAGTAACTTAATAAGAAAGCTTTTACAACAACAATCCCACAAAAGAAAATGTTTTCACTGCTGAAAGAGCAACAAGGGAACAAATTTTCTCTTGACTCTTAAAGAAATTATAGTATAAAATAAAACTTCATGATAAAGATTTAAAATATAGTTTCAGGGAAAAATAAATTCCTGGCAAGGTTTGAATCAGAATTCTTCAAAGCTGCCTGCATTTTATAACATAGATGCCTAACATTAAAAGATTGGTGAATTATTATCAACTTTTATTCCAAAATATACCACTCAGTCTAACTTGACCCAGTTCAAATAAGGCCTAAATTCTTCAGAACTGGTGAAAATCCAAGTTACTAAAAAACAATTTCTAAAAGCAATTATTTATGATAAAAGATCAAATAATTCTATCTTAAATTTCTAAAATCACCACTAAACCAGGGAACAGTTAAAATTTGGAATTTATAGAACTGTTCTCTAAATAATAAATTTATCAGTCAAAAAAGCCAAGACTTCTATCTAACCAAAAATAACTTTTAAAGTCTGTTCACGTTTTTAAATTCCACTTTGGTTTAACAATCTTTCTTCTAAACCAATCTACCTAAAATATATAATCCCATTATATGGTTTGGTTATCTTTTGATCCTAAAATATCTGAAGAGAAGAGGAAGAGATTGCTTATACAGCCTACCAATCCCAGTTTGGGAATAATAAAGATTTATTCTTCTACCATCTACCCAAAATTGTTTCTGAAGCTAATGATTCAGGTAGATGATTAAAAAAAAAAACTTTTTATTCTTACTAACTTAACTACGTGAGAGGGTCATAATTTCAACCATATCAAAGAATCTGAAAGATGAAAAACATTTTTCAACCAAATTCATTAATCAAATTCATTAAAAATAATATCAATTTTGCAATATTAGTCACTCTAATTTCAGTCAAAATAATAATAATATAATAAATATATATACATATATATTTATAAAATATAATAAATATATAGGGGCTGGGGTTAATGCTCAGTGGTAGAGCGCCTGCCTAGCATGTGTGAGGCCCTGGGTTCGATCCTTAGCACCACATAAAAATAAATAAATAAAATAAAGGTATTGTGTCCAACTATAACTAAAAAATAAAATATTTTTTTAAAAATGTATAACCAAGAAAAATGAATTACTGTGATAATGACTTAAGTGAATTCCTATAGAAAGTCAATTCTGATTATTCCTAATGCTCTAGCACCCTCTACAGTTCTCTAGATAAAAATGAAAATAATTTTTCTTTTTATAATTATTTTTTATTTGTTTTCAGAAAAAAAGAAAATATTTCCATTAAAGACATCGTTTATTTATAATAAAATTCTTTATTACTAGTTTTTAAAAGGCTTTAGTAATAAAATATTATCAATAGTTTATATCCTGTAAGTATTTTTGTCCTTCCATCTGTAATTCTTTATTCCCAACATTTTCCCTAGTACAACAAGATGAGTTTATATTTTTACAAGGTATCTCATCATTGTTTGCTCACTTTACCCTGCATATATGACATATTAGTAAACATTACTACCCATGTTCTACTGCTATGTAGAACAAGTCAATTCTGGATTACCTAGGCAATTTCTGAATCATTCTCATTATTCTATGCAAATTAATATGCTTATTATTCTACAAATAAAAATTGTTTCTAAAGCAAATGATCAAAAAGACACCATGATATAGTCATATACATTTACTAAGAACTGGTGTGAATAAATTGTTTATACAGAATGCAATGAGGATTCTACAAATAATGAAGTGTAATCTAAAAGTTTATATTAACCACCTAGTTGAATACTATCACACAAACAATAAAATCATCAAATCAATATATTAAATGGCAAGATGACACTCCTAACACCAAAATTTCAAATTCCTTCTTGAAAGCAAGATGTGGTGGTGCACACCTATAGTACCAGCTACTCAGCTGGTTAAAACAAACGATTGCTTGAGCCCAGGAGTTGAAGCCAGTCTGGATAACATAGCAAGATCCTGTCTCAATAAATACACAAAAATTCCTTCTTGAAATTAACCTGGCTATGGTTTCCAAATACAAAGTCCCAAAAAACTTTAAAAAGAAAAAAAAAATGCAACTCTCAAAGATTCAAAAGATTGAAACTCAAAACCAAAAATACACATTTTTCCTTCAAATTTCCCCAGGTGGTACTGACCTGCACAACACACCTGTCAAACTTCTTAACCTTCAGAAACCTCAATCTCTTACTGGGCCTAAAAACTTATAAATTATATTTTATCATAGATATATGTATGTATAGGAAAGAACATAGTACACAGAGGATTTAGTATTATCCACAGTAGGCATCTACTGGTGGTCTTGGAATGCATCCCCTGTAAATAAGGGAGGGTACTACTGTGTAATTATTATGCTCATTTTACAGATGAGGAAACTGAGGCAAAGAAGGTGAACATAAAGTCACACTATTAGCAGGAAATTAAGCTAGAAATTAAATCCAGGAAGTATGAATGCAGGTTCCTAACTGTGAACAGAAATTATATTTAAAAGGATCAAATGTAATCACACTAGAGACCCTGCACCTAATAAAGGAAAAAGTAGGCCCAAATCTTCACCAAGTCAAATTAGGCCCTGACTTCCTTAACAAGACTCCTAAATGGCAAGAAATAAAATCAAGAATTAATAAACGGGATGGATTCAAACTAAAAAACTGCTTCTCAACAAAATAATCAATGAAGAGAAGAGAGAGCCTACGTTTTTGGAAGCAAATTTTTGCCACACGCATGTCAGATAGAGCACTAATCTCCAGGATATATAAAGAACTCAAAAAACTTAATACCAAAAATACAAACAACACAATCAATAAATGGGCTAAGGAGCTAAACAGATACTTCTCAGAAGAAGATATACAATCAATCAACAAATATATGAAAAAAATGTTCAACATCTCTAGTAATTAGAGAAATGCAAATCAAAACTAAGATTTCATCTCATGCCAGTAAGAATGGCAGTTATCAGGAATACAAACAACAATAAGTGTTGGTAAAGATGTGGGGGAAAAGGGACATTCATACATTGCTAGTGGAATTGCAAACTGGTGCAACCAATATGGAAAGCAATATGGTAATTCCTTAGAAAACTTGGAATGGAACCACCATTTGACCCAGCTATCCCACTCCACAGTCTATACCCAAAAGACTTGAGAATCAACATACTATGGTCACACAGCCACATTAAAGTTCATAGCAGCACAATTCACAATAACTAAACTGGAACCAATCTAGATGCCCTTCAGTAGATGAATGGGTAAAGAAACTGTGGTACATATACACAATGGAATATTACTCAGCATTAAGAGAATAAAATTATGGCATTTGCAGGTAAATGGATGGAGTCGGAAAATATCATACTAAGTGAAGTTAGCCAATCCCAAAAAACCAAAGGCAAAATTTTCTCTCTGATAAGTAGATGCTAATCCATAATGGGGGTGGGAGACATGGGAAAAATGGAGGAACTCTGATTGGGCAAAGGGGAGGGAGGGGAGGGGAGTGTGTATGGAGGCAGGAAAGATGGTGGAATGAGATGGACATTATTACTCTAGGTATATGTATGACTGCACATATGGTGCAACGCTATATCCTGTACAACCAAAGAAATGAAAAGTTGTGCTATAATTGCGTACAATGAATCAAAATGCATTCTGTTATCATATATACCCAATTAAAATAAATAAAAATTTTTTTAAAAGGATCAAATGTACACTAAAACTCATCCTTCTTAAGACCTGCAAGTAGAAAGGAAGCAAATCTTCCCTAAGTCTTCCTCCAGGACCCAATACAGACATTAGGGTGTTTTACATAGATTGTGACATTTCAGTAAAGAAATTAGAACAAAGGAGCCTTTTTGTAGTCCATTCATGTTCTACTGTGGCCACTAACAGCAAAAGCTTTTAAAGGGCTCATACTTCAGAATTGAAATGAAATAAATCAGAAGAGTTGGGAGCAATAGGTAGTGAAACAGCAGGAAAAGAAATAGTAGGTGACCAATCCCAGAATCCTCAGGAAACTAAAGACAGGGATGGGGGAGAAACTAGGTGTGCTTCTCAAGAGTCACAATAGCACAAAACCCAGAATGCATAAATCATAACTCAACTGACTGATGTCTACGGCTCCAACTGCACCGTGTCATTGATGTAGCCCAGTGCCTTCAGTTTACAAAATCTCCTAGAGAACACAACCAATGGCTCAGAGCTGAAAACATTCAAAGTGGAACTCCGGAGATTATTTACTGAAAAAAGGATTAATCTCATGTTTAATTATTTGCTTTTTTTGAAGTACTGGGGGTATGGAATGGAGGAAAAAAGAAAAACAAAATCTTTGGTTTCTATTCTAAAAAGTATATGAGCACTGATTATATGACTACCACTTTTCCAAAATCAAGGGATACAAAAGAAAGGAAAAAAGTCCCTGCCTTTTTGGAATTCTATTGGGGGGGGGGGGGGGGAGGTATTAGTCAACAATTACACAAATAATTAGGAGTCCATAAATTCTGCCTCTACTTATTCTGGCTTCCTCCCCACCCAGGCTGCTTAAGCCTTTCCTCAAAAAAGTCAGAAATCCCAATCATCAAATCCCACAAATATTATACTTTTTTTTCTTGAGAAGCAATGATTATAACTTTAGTAACAATGGCTACCATCTATTTACCAGAGTGCTAAATTCTTTACATATGTTATCACATTTAATCCCAACAACACCCCTGTAGGAATAATCTCCCCTCAAAAATATATAGAGAAACTGAGATTCAAAAATTCTTACATATCCAAGATCACAAAGTTAATAAGTATTTTACCAGATCTTAGTCTATGTAAACATTAAAGTCCATGCTCTGAACTTCCTTAATATTACTGCTGGGGACATGCAGTTCGGTAGACTAGTAGCTGTCAGGTATCTAGTAAAAAAACCAAAATAATAATTCTT